TTGACGCAGATTCCCGAGGAGCCGTGGGCGACAGTGTGTGCCGATTTTGTCGGGCCACTGCCGCGGTCAAAACACGGGAAGTGGACCGAGTTGGTGCCGATGCGGAAGGCGACCACAGAATCTCTGCAAAAGGCGATAAGGGAGAGAATCGTCTCAAGGTATGGCGTCCCGAAAATCCTGCTCACGAATAACGGGGTGCAGTTTACCAGTAGGTCCTTCAAAAAATTCCTCGAAGAGTTGGGGGTGCGACACCAGTTTACTGCGCCGTATACACCCCTGGAAAATCCAACAGAAAGGGCAAATAGGACCGTAAAGACGATGATCGCCCAGTTTGCAGGGGCCGACCAAAGGACGTGGGACGAAAAATGGCCAGAGTTACAGCTGGCCGTCAATACCAGTGTGGCGGAGTCCACTGGGTACACGCCAGCATTCGTCACCCAAGGTCGAGAACCCCGACTCCCGAAGGCGCTATATGATGAACACACGATCGGGACCGGCAAAGCCACCCAAACACCAAGTGAGAACGCACAAAAATTATCAGAAATTTCGGAGTTAGTAAGGCGTAATATGGAAAGGGCGGCGCAGGATCAGGCGCGCCATTACAACCTGCGCAGGAGGCCATGGACGCCAAGGATTGGTGATAAGGTCTGGGCCAAGGAACACCACCTGTCCAAAGCGGTGGACAGCTTCGCGGCAAAGTTGGCTCCCAAATATGACGGGCCATTTACGATTGTTGATTTTGTTTCCCCAGTAATATGAAACTTGCGGCACTGCCTGAGTGGCAAGGAAAAAGGTCTCACATTAGTGAGTTAAAACCAGGCACATCTGAGGGGGGCACACTGTACGGGTGTTTCGTAAGAAAGGGAGAGGACGATACGGAATATCGATGCAGTGCCTCCCACACACACGTATTTGGAGCGAGAGCGCCAGGAGCGCGAGAAGCGGGTCAGTGGAGGGTACATAAGGGGCGATCACCGTTACCGGGTCACCAACACCAGCGCAAGAGAAAAGCTTTCACCGGTAACGGGACCCAGAACGAAGAAAGGTGGGAGAGGACGAAAACCGAGGTGTCGTCGGGGGCGACGAATAGAGGTTCGGTCTTTCCAACCTTTTTCCCCGAGATGTCCGGACGCTTTCACCACCGCCAGCTACAGCAGCAACAACGGCAGCAGCAGCCGCAGCAGCATCAGCAGCAGCCGCAGCAGCATCAGCAGCAGCCGCAGCAGCATCAGCAGCAGCCGCAGCAGCATCAACAGCAGCCGAAGCAGCAACAACAGCAGCAACAACGGCGGCAGCGACAGCAGCAGCAGCCGCAGCAGCAGCTGCGCAAGCGCGAGGCGTCGGCGCTCGTCGTCGGCACTCCAGCTACTGGCGTCGCCGTTAGTGTCGCGGTCCCCGTCGCCGGCCTGGCGCGAGGTGTCGGAGAGGGAGATGTCCTCCGACGAGGAGGTCGACGGCGGCCCCACTGGCGAGATGGAGACGGTGGAGTTGTCGTCGACGGAAGAGGAGAGCGACGGAGGTGAGACGGTGACCCCCGTGGTCTCCTCTGATAAGGAGGGCACCCGTTGGGCCAACCAGGCCCGGAGGGGTTACCGTCAGGTAAGGCGGGTGGTGGACAACGAGGGATTTATCCCGTTCGGGTCGGCGGCCTCGTCGGAGAGGCCGGAAAATGAGGAGGAAATAGAGGCCCGCCGACGAGCAACGATCGGCAGGATGGTGGAGCGGCAGGCGGAATGGATGGCTGCCGTGAGGGAGTGGCGGAGAAAACTGCAGCAAGTGGAGGCCGCGCTGTGGGCACCGGCACCTCCGCTTGCAGCGCCCTCGCAGCCGCCGTTGCCACCCACGCCGCCGCCGAGGACGCCGACGCCGACGCGGGTTGGGGGGTTGGAGGAAGGGGGGGCCGGGATACCAGCAGGAGTCACTGTGGGTATTTGGGATAGGTCAGGACGACACCACGAACACACACGAATATATTTCGGTGGAGTCAGAAACCGCACGCACGAAATCACAAAAAAAGTAAAATATAAATCACATAAAAAAAATATATAATCCAGCGGCGGCGGCGTCAGGTCCAGCGAAGACAGGTGGAGGCGGGCGATCCGCAGATGAGCAGGTGGGCTGGAAACAAAAGGGAGTAAAGGTTAGGCATGTACGCAAAAGGTACACAAAAAACTCACCTGTGGCAATGCCCTCACGGCCAGCCTGTGGTATGCCACAGAACGAGGAGCCGCGGGGTAGCGGGGCAGGAGTGGAGTCCAGCAGAGGGCGGTCCAGCAACATACACGGAGTGGGTTCGACGTGCAGTGAGTGCCCTGGAGCCAGCCGGAGTCTCTGGAGGACATACGGTGAGTGGTTACACGAGTTAGCAGAAGAAATTTAAACTCAAAAACTTACCTGGGAGTCCACGGCCAAGCCAGACGACCAGCCAGAGCGGGGAGCCGCGGCGAAAGGGAAGGGAAAGGGGTGGGTCGACGACCGGGCATATTGGCCTGCCGGGACGCGCTAGGTCAGGGTCGGCGCCCCGGCGCATACATCGTTGGAAGGATTCGGCGGCTCAACCCGGCTTGGAGTGGCCTAAAAAAAGGAACATTTAAGTGGTAAAAATCAAGAAATTAACATCAAAACACTTACCACAACAAAACCACGAGGCCGGCGAAAATTGGGAATGGGGTCGCCACGATAACGGCGGTCGATCGATAGTGCGATCGATGGGAGCAAAGGAAATACTGGAAACATCGCTGGCCGGTCACACTGGTTACGACTGCAGCCCTAAGGAGTGGCAACGCCACGATCGATAGACGAGTTATCGATTGTGCGCGGGGGAAAACTACGCGGGAAACGGTTCGAATTGGACCCGTATAACGGGAGTTTTCGACAGTGAAGATGCCCTAGTCAAGAAGCCCAACGACGGGAAGTCTACATAAGCTGAGACTTAGGTGCTGAGATTGGAGGAGCTCTCAGCCGTGGCAGGAGGAGGTCGACGAGGGAGTGGCAGCGGCCACAAGGATCGAGGATGGACGTGGGGGTCAAGATGCCACAGTCGAGATGCTGAACGACCAGGTAGGGTCCAATAGGCTGAGGTTGTCCGGCTGAGATCCAAGAGGCCTTTGGCCGCACTCAGGAGTTGGAGTTCGACGTGGGAAGGAGGCGATTCGAAGACGTTTTTCCCAGGAAGTTCCGGAGCCTGAAGCTTTCAAAAGTTTCCGAAGGAAGGGGGAGATGTATGGAGTTGTAAATCTCCTTACAATTTCGAGTGCAGGAGAGCTGCATATCAACAGCGGGATGCGCTGTGTGCGGTGGTTAAAAGGGGAAATAACGGCTCCAGGGACTTTGGACTCAATGCTGCGGTGAGTCTGCAGACGTTGGACCCAACAACAGCAAGTCTGCGGACTTCGGACCCGCGCAAAGAGGAGAGACCGTGAACTAACGGTACCGTTCTGGACTTTGTACCCGTTATAACGGTGAAGTCCTGAACTTTGGACCCGTATAACGGTGAAGTTCGCGGACTTTGGACCAGCACAAAAGGGAATGACCGTGAACTAACGGGTCTGGGCCTGCACTTTGGACCCGATCACGCCACTTGTCCTGCACTTTGGACCCGATCACGCCACCGAAGGAAGGAAATTACAGGACCAGGATGGCGTATAAAAGGAGGACGCGTGCAGGCAGCGAGACAGTCAAGTGAAAGTCGTGCAAGAGATCGTACCAACGCGAGTGAAAGCCCAAGTGAACAACAAGTGCCAGGATACCAGGAATCAAGATCGCCGAGTCGAGGAGCCCAACGACGGTCACGTCTATATAAGCTGAGACTGCCAAGCTGAGATCCCGAGGGTACAAGGTAAGTTGTAGGGTGCGTCTACGAGTCTCGAAAACGACGATATTGGTGGAGTCCGAGTAAGTGGATGTTGTGCGAAAGGTACCCAGCGTCGGTTCGCATGAGAGATTGAGAACCTGCTGAGGGCCAGCTGACGAAAATCCAGTGGATGTTGTGCGAGAGGTGCCCAGCGTCGGTTCGCATGAGAGATTGAGAACCTGCTGATGGCCAGCCGACGAGAATCCGAGGGAGTTATGCGAAAGGTGCCCGGAGTCGGTCCACACGAGAGTGAGGACCTGCCGAGGCCCAGCCGACAAAATCCCGACCGACTTCAGGGTAGAGCGTGGAGTGTTGACTGCAGCAGCGCTGCTTAGCCCTCCAGTAAGGTTTTCTGCTCAATATCCGCCAAGTTGTGAGAGACTCGTAGCGAGCCTAGTACGCGACCGGTGCCCGAAAGACTCGGCAAGGCAGAGTACGCGCGGCAGGCGTGCCGCCGCAGGAGTCGACGAGGGAGACATTACCGGCGTCAACGAGGGAGATCGAGTCGTCAGACAGCAGAGCCACGAATCAATATCAAGCTGTAAATCCACAAACAATAAACCCAACACATATTTGATGGGACGAACACACAAACTCAACTGAGCTAGCCGCACGTTTACGTAGCGAGCGGAGACATAAAAAAGCAGTTCGTTACAACTGTGACGTATAACGCGCGCAGAATAATCTCACTTTTAAAGGTCAATATTTCATAAACATGGCGAAATTTCGAAAAATTTTATTAATTAAAAAGTTTTTATTTTGGGCCAATTAACAATAAAATGTCCTCAAACCTTGGCACCCCAGTAACTAAAATCGCGCCAACAGATAAATTAAAAATTTTATTTCTGAACAAAATAAACGTGGACCCACTGTACCTCGCAACGAATGCAATAATCACGTGCAAAAAACCATAAGGCGGCGAGCGACACTTCAAATTTTGACAGGCTTAAACTGCATTGGGCCCAGTTTAGAATTAGGCCCAGCTTACGATTGGAATTAATTTATTAAATGTTCGCCGGCGCACATATGTAAAAGAGAGTTCACTTTTTGCACTTGCACTTTATTTTCTTTAAAAAGCACCGCAGCGCCTTATGGTTTTTTTCAAAACTTAAAAAAAATAGCTCTTAAACATTTTGTAAACACTTACCTGGCTTTTTCGGAAAAAATTATTTCACAAATTGTCACTTTTAAAAAATCGTCTTTGCTGGCGAACAAGGAAGTCTTCTTAATTTGCTGGCGAACAACGAAGGAATGACGCAGGTCAGTTCTTTTTGAAGTGAAACTTCTTTATCGGCGTTGGAAAAAATTTAGCGTCACATTTTTTTTTGGTTACGCGTCACATTTCTCGGTTACGCGTCACATTTCTCGGTTACGCGTCACATTTTTCGGTTACGCGACACATCCCCATCCCTCTCTAACCACTGACGAACGATCTCTCTATCTTCTTCTATCCTCTCTCGCTCTCAGCGCGCTCGCACAAAGTTGAGAGCGTAAAAATTTAAAAAATAGAATACGGTTGCGTGAGTGAGAACAAGTAAGTGCGTATGTATGTATGTATGCTTACTTGAGCAAGAAGACGATTTTTAAGCCGAAATCCTTTCTGTGCCAAAACGAATTAATTTACAGCAGTAGAAAAAAAGGGTGAAAGGTGTGAGTGTCAAAAGAAATTCTAATTGAACAGGTTGCATACAGATATTAACATTTTAATTGATGTATTAGCTTATTACAGCTTAACTATGCATTAACTATTTTTGATTGGGACCTTAATTCTTAACCATTTTTTTTCATCAGAGAAGCATAATTTTTGGAACATAGAGTTTTCTAACCACTCTTGAATTACGAATTAAATTTTATCGAAATCGTATAACCATGTCATATAGCTGCCATATAAACAATAGTCGAAAATATGGAAAATTAATAGGAAAATCGTCAGCTTCGATGTTGTATTTTGTTCGACATATGTAAATACATACATATGTATGTATTTGATGACTGCAAGGGTATATACATAAGCTTCTTTTCTTGTTTAAAAATAATATAGTAAAATCTCAGATGTTGAATATTAAATTAAATTCCTCGTGACTTTTTGTTAATAGTAAAAATACCTGACCTCAATATAAATTTATACAAAATCATTGTAAATTAATGATAACTATAAAAGTTCCAGATTTAAACTTATAACTGTTAAAGTTGCGCTTTAGGGGCTTTTGCTAAAAATGGGCTAGGAAATTTATTCTTTTTTAAAAATGCTACCTTGTTATTTGTTAAAATAGCTGCGAGACAACCCGTTTTTAGAACATTGCCATGTTTTTCAAGCGAAAAACTTTACCGGAAAGAATTTATTGTCTTCTCAGATGTTTTTACTATATTATTATACTCTTGCAGAGCAAAGGGTATTATAATTTCTGTCAGAAGTTTGCAACGCAGTGAAGGAGACACCTTAGACCCAATAAAGTATACATACATATTCTTGATCAGCATCACGATCAGAATCGAAATACGAATGTACGTCTGTGCGTCTGTCTGTTCCTATGTAAACTAGTCTCTCAGTTTTAAAGCTATCTTGCTAAAACTTTCCCAAAAGGTGTGTAGTTATCTCAAGCAGTATATACATAAGTCGGAACGGGCAGGACCGGTCGACTATATCTGATAGCTCCCATACGAGAGAGTGAAACAAAAAATTCTCATGCTGTTGTTTTTGATCAGATCGGCTTGATTTCTTCAAGATGGAGTTTTCTAACTACTATTGAATTTCGGATAAAATTTTATCAATAACGGATAACTCTTTCATATAGCTGCCATACAAAAGATCGAAAAATATATATATAAATAGTGGAAAAAAATTATAACGTCGTTGTTTTTCAACGGATAAGCATGATTTTTGGAATATAAAGTTTTTCCACGACTCTTGATTTACGAATTAAATTTGATCAAAATCGGACAACTATATATATATGTCAAACAAAATACATAAAAGCTTAACGGCATCGAAGCTATGACGATTTTTCTATTAATTTTCCAAATTGTTCATATGACAGCTATATGATATAGTCGTCCGATTTTGATGAAATTTAAATTGTAACTCAAGACTCATTAGAAAATTCTTTATTTCAAAAAGCATGATTGTCTGATGAAAAACAACGATGGTATCATTTTATTTCCGTTATTTATATATAGATTTTTCGATCTCTCCTATGGCAGCTATATGAATCGGAGTACTACGATTTTTATGAAATTTTTTTCTCGATTTAAGAGGAATTAAAAAACTTGATGTTCCAAAAAATCATGCTCATGGCATTAAAAACCACCACATTATAATTTTTTTTTCATTATTTATATGTATATTTTTTGATCTCTCCTATGGCAGCTATATGATAGAGTTATCCGATTTTGATAAAATTTAATACGAAATTCAATAGCAGTTAGAAAACGCCATCTGGAAGGAATCAAGTCGATCTGATCAAAAACAACGGAGTAAGAATTTTTTATTTCATTCTCTTGTATGGGAGCTATCCGATATAGTCGGCCGATCCGGCTCGTTCCGACTTATATACTGCGTGCAATAACTGCACACCTTTTGTGAAAGTTTCAGCGAGATAGCTTTAAAACTGAGAGACTAGTTTAGGCAGAAACGGACAGGAGGACAGACGGACAGACTCACAGACATATTTCGATTCAGATCGTGATGCTGATCAAGAATTTATATACTTTATGGGGTCTGAGGTGTCTCCTTCACTGCGTTGCAAACTTCTGACTGAAATTATAATACCCTTTTGCTCAGCAAGGGTATAAAAATATGGAAAACAAGAAAAGAAGCTAGCTTCGGAAAGCCGAAGCTTATATACCCTTGCAGTCATAAAATATGTCCAACAAAATGCATAAGGGCTAAACAACATCGAAACTATGACGATTTATCTTTTAATTTTCCATATTTTCGACTATTGTTCGTATGGCAGCTATATGATATAGTTGTCCGATTTTGATGAAATTTAATAAGTAATTCAAGAGTAGTTAGAAAATGATGAATTTCAAAACTTATGCTTGTCTTTTTAAAAACAACGGCGTGAGCATTTTTTATTTCATTCTCTCGTATGGGAGCTATCCGAAATAGTCGGCCGATCCGGCCCGTTCCGACTTATATACTGCGTGCAATAACTACACACCTTTTGGGAAAGTTTCAGCAAGATAGCTTTAAAACTGAGAGACTAGTTTAGGCAGAAACGGACAGGAGGACAGACGGACAGACTCACAGACATATTTCGATTCAGATCGTGATGCTGATCAAGAATTTATATACTTTATGGGGTCTGAGGTGTCTCCTTCACTGCGTTGCAAACTCCTGGCCAAAATTATAGTACCCTTTGCTCTGCAAGGGTATAATGAATAGCAAAATCGTCCTAGCTTCGTTGTTGTTCAGCCTTTATGCATTTTGTTTGACATATTTGATGACTGCAAGGGTATTCGGCAAGCGGAAGCTAGCTTATTTTCTTGTTTTTAAAAAACAATACTCATAGGAAACGTGTCGAATAGTGTAAATATTGAAGAAATAAATTTAAAAACTAAATTTATAATTTATATTAATTTTTAACACTTTTAATATTTTAATGACAATTAAAATACTAACATATCTTCCTTTTTCCCTTTCTTTAAGTCTCGGAAATCTAAAGTTTTAGATTTGTATAAATATTGACAAGACTGATAAATTAGTTCGCCAAAGAAGTTTCACTTCTGACATGTGTACTTTGTACGCACACACTTTTTTTTTACCACAACCGCTGTCACCTGTTGACTCACCTCAAGAAATTGGAACGATAAGCGTAGTGGTCATTGTTAATCCCTTGTTCGTAGTCCGGCTGCGCCAGTCACAGTCTTGTGACCGAGTAGAAGGGTGTCTCCCATTAGCGAATTTCGCCCTGGAAAACGCTGGAAAAGAAGCTTGTAAAGAAAACGACCGTGTTGTCCGGAGTACAAAATAAAAGTGATTCTTTATTACAAGGTAATTAGAAGTACACGAGAATGTGTGTGTTCGTCAGAGTTCTGGCATGTTGGCGATTTGTTGTTGTCCATCAGCACTAGGGTTGCCGGGTCTGCTGTTATCCTGTGGCCAGTGAGAGGGGTATGTTAACTAGGGGTATGTTAACTCCCCCAGTATGACGGTCTCCATTATTCTTTCCCCTCGGTTGTGATCGGCTTCAGCTCGCTAACGTGAGCCCTCTGGCTGTGCCTTAAATTGCAAATTACCGTCATATCTGGGAGCCAATTTCGTCGCGAAGCCGTCCACTGCTTTGGACAGGTGGTGCTCCTTGGCCCAGACCTTGTCGCCAATCCTCGGCGTCCATGGCCACCTCCGCAGGTTATAGTGTCGTGCCTGATCCCACGCTGCCTTCTCCATGTTACGCCTGACGACTTCAAAAATTTCCGAAAGTTTCTGTGCGTTTTCCTTTGGTGTTTGTGTCGCCTTTCCCGTCCCGATTGTGTGCTCGTCGAAAAGAGCTTTTGGAAGCCTGGGTTCTCGACCCTGGGTGACGAACGCTGGCGAGTACCCGGTGGACTCCGCCACACTGGTATTCACCGCCAGCTGTAGTTATGGCCATTTATCGTCCCAGGTCCTCTGGTCGGCCCTGTTTTTGGTCTTTACTGTTCTGTTCGCCCTCTCTTTCGGGTTTTCCTGGGACGTGTATGGCGCAGTGAATTGGTGTCGCACACCCAATTCTTCAAGAAATTTCTTAAACGCCCTACTGGTAAATTGCAACCACGTTGTCCGTAATTAGGATTTTAGGGACGCCATACCTTGAGACGATTCTCTCCCTTATCGCCTTCTGCAGTGATTCTGTGGTCGCCTCCCGCATCGGAACCAATTCGGTCCACTTCGAAAATCGGTCCACCAGCACGAGCAGCATTGCATTTCCGTCTTTTGACCGCGGCAGTGGCCCGACGAAATCGGTGCCACGTTTTGCCTGCCGCCTGCAGCTGGTTCGCCTTGTACTTTATGCAGCTCTCCCAGCCACGTACATAGGCTCTGACGTCCCTGTGCATGCCCGGCCAGTGGTACCTCGCAGCAAACTCTTGCTATTGTCTTCCTGCTGCACAAGTGACCGGCTGGTGCGTCATGGTTTTCTGCTATTGCCCGCTTTTTTGCTCCGCTGGGCATGTATAACTTCCATGCGACCACGTCCTCGTTCCCCGCTCTGTGGGGTATGTGGCAATACATCTGATCGCATGTAGTTTGGGTATTTCTGCGGGTTCTGCGCCACCTTGCTTCTCATCTCCGCTATCCAATCGCGT